TCAGTCCACCTGAGGTCCAGACACTGGGCACACAGTGGTGGCCCTGCCCCACAGCGGCTCCTGCCCTTGCGAGCAGAGAGCAAGCCAGCCACATACACTGTAACATCATTTCAGACCACAGTTAAGTGCCACGAGGAGGAGAATAAACAGAATGAGACAGGCGTGAGGATCAGGGGTCACTTCAGTCTCAAGACAGGGGCAGGAAAGGCACTCCAGGAGTGTGGGTGGACGCCTACAGAGTGTCTGGGGCAGGAAACAGGAAGTGCGAGCAGACAGAAACTGCTCCAGGTTCTAGGCACTTTTCAGAAACTGGTTCACTTACTTCATCCCAGCCGACGAGGTAGTAAGATTGTCAGGCCGTTTTCTCAATAGGACACTGAGGATGGGGACCGCTAACTTTGTTCTTTATTAGATGACACAACCAGGTGGTCTGGTTCCAGAGTTGACAGGCCACCATTCTGTTTCCGAAGTCTCTGGTGTAGAGCGAACAGGCCTGGGGGTGTGGGGTGATCTGGCCTCCATCTTGGATGCAGGGTCGGGGCAGAAGGGGTGGCCCACCTCCCCTCAGGGAAGTCTCTGGCCTCGTGCCAGCTAGTGCCAGAACTGAAGTCAGGCCCTTGAGACCCTTCCCATCCTCCAGTCTCCTCTGAGGTAGTACAGAGGTCCCAGCTCCCTGCCCCCAGCCTCTCCCTTGGCAGCTAACTGGGCCACCTCATTCTAAAGGGATTTGACTCTCCCCGAGACTACTGGAGACTGGTGAGAAAGGACTTAGGGATTAAACAGTGATACCCCGGGAAGGTGAAGGACTTAATCAGGGGAGTTCAGGTGCAGGAAGTGAGGCTGGGAGAGGATTTGTACCTCTCGACAAAGCCAGGGTGGACTGCGGAAGCAAGAAGGAAGTGGGGCCCAGGGGAGGCGAGGGATGGATCCGGGTTCTCATTTTCTCTTGTGACTTCACAAATAACCCAGGGAGGCACTAATAACAACAAGCTGCACCCTGTGCACCCACAGCGTTCCCAGCAGGCACTTGGAATCATCGCGGTGCCCCCTGGGAGAAAGGCAAGGGATTAGATTTCACTCCAGGCTACTGGCATTCAGAGAGCAGAGGTAGCCCGAGGCACCTGCAGCCCCACAAGGCAGGGTGAAGAGGAGGGAACCTTCCTAGGGGGCTGCCCTCTGGGTTCAAGGGCTTTTAGAATGGCCCTGGCGTTGTAGAAGTAGAGTGTTCCACAAATATTTGTCCCAAGTCACCGTGCCAATCTTAGTGGCACTTTACCTGCCACGGGCATCAGGAGATCTGAGGTCAGGGCACCAGGGGAGGGACTCTGATTCTGAGGTCAATGTTCTCCGTTTGACGAGGAAGCCACGGAGGCCCTGGAGGTCCGAGCCAGCAGCCATGAAGGGAACACGGTGCCTCCGCTCTCACTCCCACCCCTGTGCGTGATGGTGTGGACAGTCCCTGCAGCACATTAGTTCTGGGACACAGAGCAAGCCTGCCGCTCGGGACTCCCAGTCCAGAGCTCTCCCTGGGCCAGCGTTGCCCCCTGGAAGAGTCTAAACTCCAGGGCCCTGACTTCCAAAACTAAGACTCCCAAGTTCCTCTTCTGCTAGTCCCCACTTCCTCCGTTCCCAGCATGGTGCCCTTGGAGCCAGGCACACTCATGTTCCCAAAGCTTACCTCCAGGCTGTCTGACCCTGGAGGCCAGGTCCTTCCTGTCAGTCCAGGTGACAGTCACAATGCAGAAGAGTCCTTATTAAGGTCAGGGGGAAAGGGCTTCTGGTTGGCAGAGGTCCCATTTCAGTGGCAGATAAGAGAGAAGTTTCTGGAAACAGCTTTGGGTCAGGGCTTTGAGGGCCAAGGAGGCATTGGCTGGAAGAAATAAGAGAGGATAACTCTGACAGAGGCAGGAGGTGGAAGTGTGTTTAGGGAACAGCAGGGACATCTCTGACCGATAAGAAAGTGTATGGAAAGGGGGACTCTGGCAGTTGAAGCCACAGGGGATGCTGGGAAGAGCTGGAGTAGGTCTTGAAGCCAGTCAATGGGACTGGGGTGACTTCTGAAGGAACTAGGGAGCCAGTGATGGTTCTTGAGCAGAGGGAAGCAATATACCTTGCAGGGAGGGAGAAGTGTGGGATAGGGGGTGGGAAGTAGAGGAAAGGTAAGTGTAGGAAGGAGCATCGCAGGAACCAGGTTGGAGGAGTTTACCGGACTATTTAGCCAGGATTATATTATCAGATTAACCAGTGGCTTCCCGGTGGACGGGACACAGTAAATCTCAGTGGAAGCAGTGAGTAGCCAGGGAACTGGAAAGGGACAGACAAGAGGGAGAATTCTTTGCGTAGACAGCTATAGACTCGGGCTTGGGGGGCGACTCCAGGAACTTCATCCTTTGGGATGAACATGTCCCTTGCGGTTTTCTGAGCGGGCCCTGCAGCAGAGGGTACAGCCAGGTTTGTCCTGACTGAAAGCGCTCTTCTGTAACCTCCCCCTCCTCAGGTGCCTCCATACAGCAAGTGACTTGCCACTTTGGAGGACTGGCCAGCCCTTCTAAGAGAAGCCATCTTGAAGGGCGTTATAAACTGTGAGGGGCTCCATAAGCTCTGTCCTGGGCTAAGTCAGAAGCCAAGAAGCCATAGCCAGGGCAGGGACCCCCCGCCCCCCGCCCCGCACTGCCTGGAAACCCTGCTGAGGTCAGGCTGGGGGGGTCTCTTCATCACCCTTCATCAGGTCTCTTAGGAGGAGGCCACACCAGGGGCACAGCACCGTCCTTTCTTATGCCATGGACAGGCCTGTTGCCGCCTGCCTTGACTCTGGGTGAGGAGAGACATGAAGGACACTCTGCTCCCTACAGTCCTGGAGACCTGCATTTGAGGTAGCCGAGGGTTACTTCTGCATTAATTCCAGGCAAGAGGGAGTGGGTCCAACCGGTACTCCCCGTTGACCAGCCACTGGGCACCCTACATCTGTTGTGTTCCTAATGACTTTGGGCAAGCCATGGCCTCTCTGAGCCTCAGTTTCCCCCACTGTTAAGTGAGGCCACACGAACTCTGGGAAGCTGTTTGTTTCACCTTCCTTCCAGGCCATTCCCAGCACTGAGCTCTGGTTTGAAGCTCACCACATCCTCTTCTTCCTCCCCCCACACCCCGCCCCCTGCTTTCCCCTCCAGTTTTTTGGAGGCCAGGCGGGCCTTAAATTTGTGATTTCCTGCCTCAGCCCTGAGTGCTGTATTGCATATACATGCCACCACACTCCACCCCTGTCTACAGGAGCCTAGGCTGGGGGATACAGGATTTGTGGGGACTCTGGTAATTGAAGCAAGGAAGTGTGGTCTAGAAGGTAGATGTTCCTAAGCAAGGTCACACCAAGGCTTTAAGCCCCTCCCCCCCATGCTGCCTCTGCATCCCTGGTTGTAGCCACACTTTGCACCCACCACCAGAACTTTGCTCATGCTACTGTGCTGATATAGGCTGAGAGGACCTTCTTCCATGTCCCCCACATCTTAAGGTGCAGGGTCAGAGTCTCTTCTCTCCACGGAGCCTTCTAGGGTCCCTTCATCCAAAGCAAACGGTGTCCTTTCCAATCTCTGGCTGTTTGATCCTCTCCTTGGCCACCTGCCTGGCTTTTGTGTTCTCTTTAGGATGTTTGGGACCAAAGGGTGGTGTGCGAACATGGCTGGATTCCAGAACAGTGCCTGCTGCTTGGCATACAGCAGGAAGAAAAAGTGGCCCTGGACTTGTGACCAGGTGCCAGATGCCTGGAAATAAGATCAGAGTAGCAGGGGGTTCCAGCAGAAGGAGGGGGCCGCTGGACTCTGAGAAGAGGAAGTTGTTTTACTGTGTAAGGCAGAGGCAGTAACTGGGGTTGAGGGGGGCAGTCTGGCGGCACAGGCTAGACGTGAAGCTGCTAGGCTGTGGCTTTCAGAGTCCACCCACAAGTCACATCTGTCACCAGTGGGGAGCCCACAGGCCCTTGGCCAGTGCTGGGAAGCAGATAAGGCACAGTAGGGCTGCTGTGGTTCTCCTCTTTGTCTAGCCTATGGCTGAGCTCTGACCAGGGAGCCAGCAGAGCATGACTGTGCAGGGCCAGCTAGGAAGTGGCCACCAGAAGTCAAGCCTAAGAATTATGCCTATTAACTCTTTCTAGCCTCCTGCTGACTTATAGGCCCCAAATCACCCCCGATGAGTGAAGGAGCAACAATGTAGAGGCAAAGGGACTTGTAGAAAGTTGTGGAACGTGGGCACTCAGACTCAAGCCTCCAGATTTCCAGAGAGGAAGCAGCGCATGCTGAGACGTGCGAACTTTGGGAGTAGGCGGCTCCCAGAATGCAGGGCAGGTGAGACACAGAGAACTGGGTCCTAGGTGGGGAGGCTGTTCTTTCTTGCCCCTCACCCAGATACCATGTTCTCCACCATGCCTGTTCTGCAGGGAGAGGCAAAAGGATACCAGTTCTGGTTTGTTTGTTCGTAGTCCAGGCTAGCCTCAAACTCAATAAGTAACTAAGGGTGATCGTGAACTTGTGATTCTTCAGCCTCCACCTCCCCAATGCTGGGATCACAGGTAAGTGTAGAAATGTACCATCCTGACCACGCAGTGCTGGGGATCCAACTCAAGACTGTGCATGCTAGGCCACCAACTGAGTTACATCGGAACCCTGAGTGTCAACTCTGAATGTCCCCCAAGCGGAGCTGGTAGTAGTGATCATAAGCGGATGGCAATCAGCACCACAGTTTCTAGAAGCAAAACGACGCCGCATAGGGGCAGACCATCCCCGTGCGCACGAGGAGAGCTGTCAACATTTTGGGGTAAGGAAAGCCAGCCCTGTGGAGTCGCTCCTTAGAAGAGGTCATTAGCCAGCTCTTTTCAGCCTCCTTTTGGATCGGATGAGGAGTACGCCCAAGTCGCTCAGGTGTGGCATCCTGGCTCGCCTCCAGGGCCTCTGCGCGTCTGGCCCCGCCTCTCGGGCTCCTTTAAGAGGCGGGTCTTGGCCGCCAGCCCCGGGGCCTCCGCCAAAGACTGGGACTTTACTCCAGCGGCTGCGGCGGCGGCAAACCAGTTAGAGCTCCATCAGCTGCCGCAGGCGCCGCGCCCCGAGGCTGAGACGCGATGAGCGGCAGAGTGGGTGACCTGAGTCCCAAACAGGAGGAGGCATTGGCCAAGGTGAGCCTGATCCTGGCGCAGCTGTGGCCCTCGCCCTCCTGCTGGAAGCGGCTGCGAGGGACGGTCCCCGCGGGCGAGCGACCGAGGGAGAGCCGGCCGGTCGCCCCCCTGCTTGGACAGTGCCCAGAGGGCCGCTTCTCGCTCAGTGTGAGGACCTCGGGAAGTTTGGTCGTCGCCGTCTCCAGCACGGGCAGCCCTGGCGGTGCCCCGTGGGAAGAAGTGGTTGCTTGGAAGCCCTCAGAAGCAGCTGAGGGCACAAAGGCAACATTCATCCTCGGGGCTGGCAGGGACTGGCAGCAGGGCCGTGGGACAGGGGCAGGGCCCCAGGTTTCCTCCCATTTCCGGGAGGTTTTCCTCTTGCGTGGGCAGTGGCATATGGAAGGGTCCTGGACAGCTCCCTGGCAAACTCCCCATAGCCTTTGCGAGGCACCAAGTTACTGTGCGACCTTGGGCCAAGCCCTGTCCTGTGTGCTCTTTGATGAAATTAGAAGGGGCTGGCCGCGGGGCACCTCTGTGCGTGAAGTCGAAGATGCCGGCACTAACTAGTTTGGCTTACTTTCCGAGAAAAGAGCCCCCCTCCCTCTGGCAACCCAGACCCTTGCCACTCAGAAGGAAAGGGCATGACCAGGCTTTGCCTTGGCACCCGGGCAGGGAGGGACCTATCTACTCCATTCGAGTTCAGGGGCTGGCCCTTCTGCCCCAAAGACTTAATCTCCTCAGTTGCGCTGGATCAGAACTGGTTGAGGTCCAGCCCCAATGTTCGGAGACTCCACAGCCAGGCAGTTTCTTATGTATTCTCGAGTGTAGCAGCAGATGTGGCTGCTGTGGGTGTTTTTTTTTTTTTTTTTCCCATGTCAAGTGTACTGCTGACCTGCAGGAGAAGTCTGGTGGACATGGGTTTGGTGGTGCTTAAGGCAGGGGCTAGGTTAGGTGACCTCCCTTGCTGTTTAGATGACCATTGCCCCAACGCTGGGAGCTGCTTTTGGGGGATGGGAGGGTCTGGCCAGACCTACCTGACCTAAGGCAAAGGGCAGAGGTGGCCAGTCCTCATTGGTCCCCTCTGGGGGTGTCCTACAGTTCAGTGACCAGATAAAGGTCACTGCTGGCGCAGGAGGCTTGGGGAGAGCCGCAGGGGGCCCTGACCACTCCTGGGTAGTGAGCGGTTGGAGTTAGGTGTGGCTGCCCCTTGGGGTCACTTGTCCACCTCACAGGGTGGCTCTCGTAGTACAGTTTCCTTCTGTGGCTACCTGCTGGAGCTGTTCCCTCCATCTGGGTTGTCCGTCTCCCTCCTCCCTCCGCCTGCTGCTTTTGTGGTCTTTCAGACTCAGCTCAGTCATTTGAGACGACCCCCTTCCCTCCCTCTGCTCCCCACTCCGTTATTACCGAGGGGGCGGGAAGACTGCCCAGGGAAGAGCCCGGGATCTGGACTCTGATTCGTATCCCAGCTGTTGGGTGTGTTGCCGAGCCTCCGTGCTTTCATGTCTTGTCTGTAAAATGGGACAGCGACGCCTCTAGGGCCTCTGGGTGACATGGAAGAGACAGAGTCCAGATGAGTGCCGTGCACAGAGCAGGTGCTAGGTATACAGACGGCACACTGTGGCTTGGCCAGAGCGCCTGCCGGTCTATCACTGTTAGCTGGGGACACACCCACTTGCCCACCAGAGGAGTGTGGAGACATGCTCAGAAGTGAGGCGTGGCAGGGTCCTAGTCACTTTCTGTGCCCCCTCTCCTCCCCAGCACTCATGGCCACACAGCCCGCGACCTCACTCAGCCAGCGGCTACATCAGTATGTAAAGGAGGGCTCTGGCAAAGGCCCCCAATGGAGGGCCACTCCGGGGAGCTCCTACTCATCCAGCTGTCTCTCCCTGTAGTTTCGTGAAAATGTCCAGGACGTGCTGCCCACCCTGCCCAATCCAGATGACTACTTTCTCCTTCGATGGCTCCGAGGTGAGGGAAGAGGGGCTGTGGGGGGCTGGGGCAGGGGCATGTTCATGTCCTCTGGAAACCCTGGCAAGCTGAGACAAAAAAAAAGGGGGGGGGGGGCTCCTCTTCCAGCCCTTCTACAGGATATGGAAGCTCAGAGAGGTGAAGGGCCTTGCTGGGTGAGCTGCAGTCAGAAAGAAGACTCAAACCTCAGGTTATGGACTGTTGGCGTCCTTTTCATCTACCTGTCAATCTGCTCTGCAGACAGATGAAGGAAAATCCAGGCCCAGAAAGGCCACACTATGTAGGAAGTTGGAGGCAGAGCTGAGATTAGAACCAGGGTCCTAGTCCTGTCAGCTTAAATGAAGGGCACTGTGCATGGGGACTGAGGAGGGTGCCCCCTCCCCTCCACAGGCCAGGGTCTGGAGTTCTAGTCCCAGCCATGTGCTAGCTTGGCTGTGACACCTGGGCTAAGGTCACAGTTATCTAGGCTCCTCCTATGAGATGTGGATTAGATACGGTGCCCAGATTTTTTGCAAGCTATGGCAAGACAAGGTCTGTTTGTGTTATAATGGGAACATGTTGCTGCTAGTGTCAAGATCAGACTCAACCTCCACTCCTTGTACCTTTTTGTCCTCTTCCCTCTCCTTACCGTCATCCAAGGCTTGTGCCATCTTCTGGGCTCTTCTGACGCATGTTCATTTTTCTCTGTAGAATCTTTATTACCAGAGAGAGAGAGAGAGAGAGAGAGAGAGAGAGAGAGAGAGAGAGAGAGAGAGAGAGAG